ACTGGTATCTGCATGTCTTGCAGCCTGAGTACCATTCTCCTTGGGAGCAGTTTGTGTACTTTCCGACATTGTGGTCTCACTTTTAGTATTGGAAGTTGGTGAAGTACCAGAGTGTACTGCGTTCTGGTGATTATCAGATTTGGATCCGCCATTATGTCTTGTTTCCGGTCTCTCTGTTTCTTTCTGTTCAACGTGCGAAGCCACCATACCTCCACGTTCAGTTTGATCGTTATGATTTCTTGAAGGAGATCCGCCAAGCTCTCCCTCTCGTGCACTGGGTTGCGAAGGAGTGGTATTTGTAGGTGAAACAGGAGGTTGAGGTACAGGTGCGTCTGGGGTGCGAGTTTGTGATGATGGATGTAAATCAGATTGATCTTTTACCACTTCACTATGTACTGTTTCTTTACCGGTATGGCCCAATGTAGATTGTTCTTCATCACCCTTTTGCGATGCAGATTCCGAACTTCGATTTACACTTGCCACCTCTTCATTCAATATATCCTCTTCATCTTCATCACACACAGTATCGAGAAGCGCAGGAATAGCATGACGAACAAGAGAAGGAACACCAATAGTGGAAGGTTTAATAAGTGCATTTGATGCTTTAGGACTATCAGCCCATACTAACCCACAAGCACTACAGAGTGCAAGAGTTAGTAAACAAAAGAGGTAGCACCTCACCATTACAGCCTTTGTCATTGTTGTTGTTTACTTCAACAGACTAATACAAGAAAAAAAAAGGAACACAAGGAAAGAATAATGATAGAAACAAACAAACAAACATACACCAATACAACAAATACTCACAGTGGAAAAGAGAAGCAGTAACTCCACAGTAAAGCAAGAAAAAGGAATATTCCGCTTGTAATGATAACATGTATCCCTTAATAGAAATGAAAAGAAAAGGCCACACAATACCCAAATAAGAGAGAGCCAAACACACACACAATACTCCATGGCTCTAGTTTATGTATTAAACTACTGCACACATATGTGTGTACTAGCAAGAGATGTATACAGTCAGTGAGCAGAACAGCCCAGTTTTCTGCAAACACACACAACGGGAAAAAGCAAGTAATGCAATTATTAGAAAAAGAACACACAAACACAGAAAAGTAAAAGAAAAGATATTCCAATTAAAAGAGAAAGCTGGTAAACAGATTATTAATTCATTCACCCATGGGGGATATAAGCAATTATGATTAATGTTAGTATAACCATTATTATTATTTGTCCTCAGATGAGTCCCACTGTTCAGTACACAGTAGCGGAGAACAACACAACCACAATCAGAAACGGTGCTGCAGTACGCATCCACAGAGGATTGACACTGCTGTCAACATTAGCCTTGTTCTTTACGGTGGAAGCAATGCTGCTGATCTGTGGGTCGGTTACGGGAATCGGAGATAGTGTTGTGGCCGTTGCTTCGCTGACAGTGTTCGTAGTGCTGGCCAGAGTAGTGGAATTGGTTTCTTGTGAACCTTCTTTGATATTCGTATCAAGTGCTGCAGGAGAGTTGGAAGCCGTTGTGTTTGTTAATTCGGTGTGAGTGTTGGTGATGCCTTTGGAAGAGGAAAAATCTTTGATTTCTGAGCCCGCTGTGGCAGTTGCATCACTTACGGTAGATACCTGGTTTGTGCCGGAGGATTCGCCGTCCTTCTCTTCAATCACTGTTAAGGTGTCTCCATTGGTTTGTTGTAGCTGCTGTATCTGTCTACTGTCAGTCAATGGTGTTACATCTTTATTTCTCTCCTCGGCATTATAAATTGCAGTAGTGAGGTTTTCTAAGGCCTTCTCCAAAAGGTTAGCAGCTGTCTCCGCAGGCTCCACTGCAGCTTCAGCTTTTTGTGCCGCCTCATCTGCATCTTCAGCGGTGATGAGAGCACTTAACGAGAGTTCTGCAACACTCTCGTGATTCGTATTATGGAATGCCGTCTCTACCTTTTTATGAAGAGTCTCCAACTGTTTTAGTTTATCGCTATCACCGGTGTTTTTCATGGATGCGTTCATTTCATCATACTTGTAGATAAAATCAATTAAAAGTTGTCGAGCCGCCAGTCCATATTCAATAATCGTAATTGTTGCTGCTTTAGTTAACTTTGTGGCATTTCGTGCATCGGCCGCGGCCTTCTTTACCTTCTCTAGAACTGCACTTCCTTTCTTCTTCTCAGCCTCCAGAACAGATGGTCTAGTCTCCGCAGTTTTTATGAACTGATCAATACTCTGGACAAACTCTCTTGCTTCTCTGGTTGAGTCTGCAGCATTTGTTGCAGCATTACTGCATTGAGCCTTCAATTTCACAATTTCCACCTTCGTCGCCTCCCTTTTCTCAACAAATAGAATGGCTCTTTGTGCCAAATTAGAAATGTTTTTCAGTTCTTCAACGATTTCACTTGTTCCCTCACCAGAACTTGTGGCTCCACTCACACTCACAGTGCACAGCACAACGGCCAACACACACATCACACGGCGCATCATCATCATCATGAGAGAGAGACAAGGGTTTGGTTTGCGTAAAAACACTGATCTAGAACGAAAGCCAATCAAAAAACAAAAAAAACAAATTAAGAGAAGCATCAACCGCAGAAAAATAGCACAAATCTCTGGGTACACTGGTCTGCTCAAGCAATTAAGAATACAAATTGTATTAACTGCTATTTTTTTATTTCCTTCTGCAAAAAACAATCCAACACAACGGTGCAGAGCAAAGCACACAAGAATAAACAAAACAAAAAGATATTAATCATTTTTTTATTTCCTTCTGCAAAAAACAATCCAACACAACGGTGCAGAGCAAAGCACACAAGAATAAACAAAACAAACAGATATTAACAATTGGCCCAATTTACACTGAAAACACAAAGAAATATACACCAGCTAAGGGTGTAACTCTATATACGTGTATATATGCAATTATAAATATAAATTCATTTGTTATTATTATTTCCTTTTCCCCATCACTGCAAAAAGCATTTCATCATCATTATCACACTGCACGCCCAGGTGCACACACACAGAGAGTCTCCAAGAACACACACACACACACAATGGAGTAGCAATAATAATAATTATAGGATAAACACAAAGAGAGCAAAAACACACACAAAACACACATTAAGATTAAGAAAACAAAAAAGGATAATCCCAACAGGTGGAAGATTAGTTAGACTGTAGTGATGCATGCAAAATAAGAAAAAAGAAAACAAAGGATGACCTCAGTCACACCACACCATCACCATTACAATCAGCACACAAGAATACAGGCCAGTGTAACCACAATCAGTAGTGGTACACGCACCCACACAGAACTGATGATACTACTGCTGCTGTCTGCATCACCCTTCTTGTTGTTTGTGAGTTCAGGAGGAAGTGTTGTTGTTGTTGTTGTGGTGGTGGTGGATGTTTCTGCATTTCCCGCACCTTCTTGGTTACTTGTTGACTCACTCCCTGCAGGTGTAGTGCCATTCTCAGCAGTTGTATTATCAGAACCATCACCACTCACTGTGGCGGAAGTGTTAGGAGAGTCAGCAGAAGGTTGTGTTGCCGCAGTTCCATTGTTACCTCCATTTTCACCCTCACGTGGTGTATTATTGCCCTTGATTCCAGTTTGGCCATCAACTGAAGACTCACCATCACTCCCCTCAGAAGGGTTAGGATCAGGAGTGAGAACAGAAGTAGAAGATTCAGGAGTAACAGTGGTAACATGACGAATACCTTTATTGACTTCCTGAACCTCTTCAGTACGACCAGGAACGTTGCTTCGATCACCATTTTGGCCAGTAGGACCTTGCGTACCCGGTTCACCAGAAGGTTGTCGTTGTGAAGAGTGAGTATTAGGATCGGAATCATCAGCGGGAGGTTTTCCAGTTACCCTATTCTCATCAGAATCATTGGTGTCTTTGCTTTTTTCATCTGCTTTGCCAGCAGGACCAGGAGGACCAGCAGCACTAGCAGGACCAGGAGGACCGGGTTCGCCTTCAAGATTTTCTTCATTTTGTGTATTTGGAGCTGGTTCCTTTGGTGAAGTTGGAGCTGGTTCTTTTGGTGTTGCACAAGGTTTAGAATCTTGAGGGCAACCGCCATCACTGTCGTCACCAATGGTAGGGCACCTCTCACTCTCAGGAAGTTCCTTACACGCAGGAGGAGCAGCTTCAGGTGACTTAAGGACTTTAACACACTTGGATCCATTCTTGCCTGGTTCACAACCAACACCATCAGAAGGTGGACCTTCTTCCCCTCCAGAGGCCACACACACGCAAGCAACACTCAAAAACAGGGCTGTAAGGTACAGTAGTCGTTGCAGCAACATCATGGAAAGAGATTTTCTTTTTTCTTGAGGAAACCTTGACAAACAATCAAAACAAAAAACAAGCTACAATAAGGAAGAACCAAAAAGGCAAAAGAAATGGATAAAACAATTAAATAAAACAATACACCGAATATAAGAAAAAAAACACAAATAAAGTAGCACCTTACAAAAAGCCGAATAAAAGCAAACATAAATTACGAGTACCACCAGCAGGTCATCCAAACACACAAATCGCATAGAACGGGGTACACTTGAGTTAATAAGCAATTATGAATATAAAAGTGTATCTCTTATTATATTTTCACTCTACCAAAAGCAAAGCAGCAAAACAATGAAGTGAAAACATAAAATACCCCACTAAACAACAAACAGATATTAACCATTAGCCCAATTTACCCATTAAACACAGAAATATACACCAACTATGGGTGTAAGGCTATATGTGTATATATACGCAATTATAAATATAAATTAATCTGTTATTATTATTTCTTTCTTTTTTTTTTCAAAAAGCAGTTCATCATTATTATCACAGTGCAAGCCCAGGCGCACATACATAGAGAGTCTCCAAGAACACACACACACACAATGGAGTAGCAATAATAATTATTATAGGATAAACACAGATTGAGTAAAAACACACACAAAACACTATATCATTAAGAAACAAAAAAAAAGAAGAAAATCCTAACAGGTGGAAGATTAGTTAGACTGTAGGGATTGCATGCAAAAAAGAAAAAAACAAAACAAAGGATGACCTGAGTCACACCACCATCACCACACAATCAGCACACAAGAATACAGGCCAGTGTAACCACAATCAGTAGTGGTACACGCACCCACACAGAACTGCTCATACTGCTGCTGCTGTCTGCATCACCCTTTTTGCTGTTTGTGAGTTCAGGAGGAAGTGTTGTAGTTGTGGTGGTTGTCTCCGTATTTTCTCTCTCATTTTGATTGTCCGTTGATTCACTCTCTGCAGATGAAGTAGTGTTGTTAGGTGTTTCAGCATCAGCACCACTGGCACTCTCTGCGGGTGAACTGCTGGGAGAAGAAGTAGAAGCTTCTGTTGATTCACTTCCTTGTCTAGCAGTAGTTTCACCTTTTGCAATGTTGTCGCCGTTTCCAGATCGACTGATACCTGCAGCCTCAGCCTCACTCTCGCTTGCAGTAGGTGCAGCAGATTCAGAAACCGCCGCCGTTGGTGAACCAGCTCCAGCGCCAGATAAACCGTTCGAACCAGCCTCACCCAATGGACCAGGAGCACCAGAAACACCACGATCTTTAAGATCATCTTCACCACGAGAACTAGCGGGACCAGGAAGACTCTGAGCAGTTCCATGACGAAGAGTTTCAGATTGGTGATGATTATGTTGTTCATCAGTAGAAGCGTCGAGTACAGGTTTTTTAGGAACTTCCGGTACTTTGGCAGGAGGAACTTCAGATTTTTTAGGAGGAGCAGCCGGTACTTTTTTCTCAGGAACAACTTCTTTTGGTGCCTCTGGTACTTTTTCAACAGTAGGAACTTCGGGCTTTTGCACACATGGCTTATGATCTTCAGAAGGATCAGGGCAGTTAGATTCACTCTCCGTATCAGGGACTTGGTCGGAAAGATCGGCGGCAGGCACTTCTTCAGCGAGGACGTGCACACACGCACATGAGAGCAGGAGAGCGAGGATACACAGCACGTAGCGCATCATTATTATAATTATTCCAATAGTTGCAGGTATTGTTGTGGATATCGTTGCACCTGTCTTATTTCAATGGAATGCACAATAAAGAAGAAAGAGTACAGAGAGAAAAACAGAAACAAACAAAGTAAATCAAACAACACTCAATAATTACAGTAGAGGCACACACACTGCAGAAAGCTGCAACCATAACTCAGATAGTGGCCAAATAAAAGTAAAAACACACACAATACCCAATCACAAACAGATAATCCCAATTAACCCCTCAAAAGAAAAAAAAGAAATTAAAGAGAACGACCATCAGAATTACAAGGCAGACGCAATTATAAATATAAATTCATCTGTTATTATTATTATTATTTACTGTTTTCCCTCACTGCCAAAAACAGTTTATCATCATTATCATCACAGTGCAAGCCCAGGCACAGAGAGAGAGTCTCCAATAACACACACACACACACAATACCCCATGGCTCTAGTTTATGTATTAAACTACTGCACACATACACATCTGTGTGTACTAGCAAGAGATGTATACCATCAGTGAGCAAGAACAGCCCAGTTTTCTGCACACACATACACAACAGGAAAAGCAAGTAATGGAATTATTAGAAAAAGAACACACACACATAAAAGTAAAGTAAAAGAAAAGAAATTCGAATTGAAATAGAAAGCTTGTAAACCAATTATTAGTTAATTCATTCAACCATGGGGGGATGTAAGCAATTATGATTATGTTAGTATAACCATTATTATTAGTTGTTCTCAGATGAGTCTCACCGTTCAGTACACGGTAACAGAGAACAACAAAGCCACAATCAGTAATGGTTCTGCAGTGCGCATCCACACAGGACTGACACTGCTGTCAACATTGGGTCTGTTCTTCTGCACTGCAGAGGCAATAGAGGTGATCTCTGGATTGGGTGGAGGAGATGGAGTGGGGGTTGCTGCTTCAGTTACACTGTTCGTGCTTGAAGAAGACGATTGTTCCGTAGCATCATTGGGTCCACTTTGACTCGTTTGATCCGGAGACTCAGAGGAGACAGTATTAGTATTAGCAGACGGTGTGGTCGCCGAGAGTTCACTCACTTTTGCAGTAGATTCTTCTGCTGTTGCTCCTTCACCGGCATTCTGTGTGCTGGTA